GAGGCCTGGGCCTGCAAGCGAGGGTCACCGCGAGCAGGCGACGCGGTGTCGGGACAAGAATAAATACGGCGCCCCGCGGGCGACTATTGGCGGAGTTGGATGAGAAAACAAGGCCTTAAGCCGGAAATAGGAAACTGCAACTCCCGTCTGGCCCGGGCCAGGCCGAGCTACCCGGGCCGCGAAGCCTCATGGGACAAGTAGTTTTGTGCACGGCTCAACCTGGGCACCTGAGGCTGGAGCGCTGAGGCCTGCGGTGCCCCGAGCGCGAGACATGGAACTGGAGCAGAGAGAGGGGTGAGTAGCGGAGCCCGGTGCCCGGCTGCAGAAAGACGACGCTTCCCCGCGACGTGCGGTTGTCAGAGCTCGACCCGAGGCCGTGGGCGTTGTAGTTTGTGGTCTGTGCAGCAGAGTCCTGCACCGCTCCGGGGTGTCCGCTCCGGGGCCGAGACGGGCTCTAGGGGAGGGGGCTGGGGCTGGGAACCCGGGTCTGAGGGGAAGGTGGTCCTGGACCCGGGGTCTGAGGGGGAGGTGGCCCTGGACCCCCGGTCTGAGAGGGGGAGATGGCCCTGGACCCCTGGAACTGAGAGGGAGGGCTGGCCCTGGACCCCCGGGTTTGCGGGTAGTGGCCCTGGGCTCCCGGGTCTGAGGCGGTAGGGCTGACCTTGGACCCTCGGGCCTGGGGGGCGGTGACCCTGGACCCCGGGTCTGGGGGAGGGCTGGGAGCAGCGGGCTGCGCCTGACCCCTGCTGACCCACAGCACCATGGCCGCCGTGGGCTTTGAGGAGTTCTCAGCGCCCCCGGGCTCGGAGCTGGCGCTGCCGCCCCTGTTCGGCGGGCACATCCTGGAGAGCGAGCTGGAGACGGAGGTGGAGTTCGTGTCCGGAGGCCTGGGCGGCTCCGGGCTCAGGGAGCGGGACGAAGAGGAGGAGGCCGCCCGGGGCCGGCGGCGACGCCAGCGGGAACTCAACCGCAGAAAGTACCAGGCGCTGGGTCGGCGCTGCCGAGAGATCGAGCAGGTGGGCAGCGCGCTTCCGTGTCGGGGTCCCGGGCCAGGGCCTGCCCACATGCCCTCTTCCCGTTTATTTACCGGCCTGGGACCGCCGCTCCCGGAGAGCCCTGACGCCAGCCCAGCTCTGGCGGCTCCATCCACGCACCTCCCCGAACTCAGCCCAAGCTCTTCAGTTCTGTGCCCCTAACTCGAAGCCCCGAGGCCAGTCTACTCTGCTCAAGAACCTTCCCTGGACCCTTCTCCTCCCTCAAATCCCCGCGGCCCCTTCCCCAGGCTGATTCCCCAGCTGGGACGGCTGCTTGTCCCCTGGTGAGAATAAGGGTGGAGCAGCAGGCCAGGGACACCAGGGCCAGATGCTTGGGTTTTTTTCTTTCTTGGGAGCTAGGGAACCCGATTACAGTTTTAACAGAGGGAAACACAGGGCCAGGCCTGGGTCCTGGAAGACTCTTGGAAGGTGGTCCTATCAGGTTTGCTCAGTAAACTGGGACCAGCTCAACAGTCACTCTGACAGTTTGAGGGCCTGTTAGTCTGAGATCAGGTGTCAGCAGGGATGTTCCCAGAGGGCTGGAGGCTGGCTGCGTCCTAGGCCTTCCTCTCTTACACTGCCAGTAATCGTTGGTGTTCTTTGGCATGTAAAGGCATCCCCTGACCTCTGCCTTTTCCTTGCACATGTTATGTCTGTTTCCCCTTTTTATAAAGATGGCAGTCATGCTGGGTTAAGGCCTCCCATGACCATGTTTGTTTGTTCTTTTAATATTTAGTTTTTTAGGTGTAGATGGACACGACATAATGCCTTTAGTTTTTTTATGTGGTGCTGAGGACCCAACCCGGGTCCTGCCCGTGCTAGGGGAGCGCTCTATCCTCTATCGCTGAGCCACAATCCCAGCCCATGTTTTAACTTGACTACCTCTGTGAAGACTACCTCCAAATCCAGTCACATTCTGAGGCGCTGGGAGTTAGCACTTCAGCACACCTTTCTGGGTGGGTGAGGGGGGGACGACACAAGTCAACCCATAGCAATGGTATGGTGGTTCTGAGAGCGGACAGACCAGGGGCCAGGAGACCAGGGAGGTATTCAGAATGCTGCCTGACAGGTGAATGGCAGAGTGCAAGGGATTTCTACTTGAGCCTGCTCTTAACCCACTTCCCTAGGAACAGTCTGTTCTTATCCCTGTTTGACACATGCAGGAACCCAAGGCTTCAAGATTTAGTAACTTACTCAAGTTCACAGGTAGTGGCAGCAAGGTCAGGATTTGAACCTAGGTTTTTCTGAGCAGGAGGAGCACATGCTTCAGCCAATACTAGGCTGTTGCCTGAGCCATGTCTTCTGCCCTCCACACCCAGGCTGAGGTCCTCAGAAACTGCAGGGGCTGTCCCCTCAGCCTGGAAGGCTTTGCTCCTGGTGGTCACTCCTTTGTCTCCTTCCCATCACTCAACCCACCAGTCCTCTGATAGCACTCACTAAAGTGGCCCTGCGTTGCCTTTGGCATGTCAGCCTGGCTGGTGTGCATCACGCACTTAGCCCTACAGTTGCTCATTCAGCCGATGGGGGCTGCTGTGTGCAGGCACTAGGCCCTCCATAGATGGCGCTCCATCAGACCTGTCCAGTGAGTGGGAGACTAGTGGAATCCAGTGTACCTGCTCACCATCTCCCTGCAGGTGAATGAGCGGGTCTTGAACAGGCTTCACCAGGTGCAGAGGATAACTCGAAGACTCCAGCAGGAACGCAGGTAACCCTTTCTACCTCACCACCCCTCACCATCTCTGCCATCTTCACCCACCTGGCCCTCACAGGCCTCAAGGACAAGAGGTTGAAGATGAAGGCTAGGGTTGAGGCAGACAGGGAGAAAGAGTGGAGCTGGGTTTTAGAGGGAAAAGCTGGCTCCAGGACCCAGGGAAGGGCTGGGAGAGCAGACTGAGTGGACAGGACAGCAGGATGGAGCAGTGGCACCTATCTGCTGTTTGGCTCTGAGCAAGCAATATCCCGTCTGAGCTGCATCTTCCAATCAACTGAGGGCAACACCAATGTCAAAGCTGCTTTGAGGGTTAGGCTGGGCTCTTGGGGATATGCTCAGCTTGGAACTTCCCTGAAGAGGTGTTTGTGAAATGAAAGATCACCTGTGTAAAACACTGCCAGGACCCTGATATGGGAAGTGTGCAGAAAACTTGTGGAAGCAGAGGGGAGGAAGAGAAAGCAGCCTTGGTCAGAGGTGAGGTTTCCAGTAGGAGTGTCATGCTCACCTCAGTCATTGATAGGAATCACAGCTCCTAAGTGAATGTTTGCAAAATGCCAGCCTCAGAGAGCCCTTAGAGTATCGCTGTGTCTGCATCCAGCCCAGCCAGATCAGTATCTCCCACTTACAGAGGAAACAAAAGGTCAGATGAGCCATCTTGCCCAAGGCCCCACTGCCTGGCTAGTGCCCAGTTTCCAGGCCTCTCAGGCTGCAGAACTCTAAATCTGGGTCAAGGACAATCTGGCTTCAAGTAGAATAAGAGCTGGGCTCTACTGTTTGCCCCCAACCCCACTAATAAATAAGCTGCCCCACTGGTGGCCTCTCTGTTCACACAGGTTCCTCATGAGAGTGTTGGACTCCTACGGGGATGACTATCGGGCCAGCCAGTTCACCATTGTGTTGGAGGTGAGCACTGGCCTTCGGACAGGTTGGGGAACTGAAGCCCAGGACACAGTCTTGACTTCCTCCCCTTTACCTACCAGGATGAGGGCAGCCAGGGTACAGATGCCCCCACTCCAGGCAATGCTGAGAACGAGCCTCCAGAGAAAGAGGGGCTGTCCCCCCCTAGAAGGACTCCTATACCCCCAGAATCCAGCAGCCCAGCCCCTGGTGAGGGGCCCAGTGGGCGGAAGAGGCGGCGGGTACCTAGGGATGGGTGCCGGGCAGGAACCACGCTGACTCCAGAACTGGCCCCAGCACAGGTAGGAAGGAATCCAGGTGCTGTGGCCAAAGTGTCACTTGGCTCCTGGGCTTGGCTGCTGTGCTGAGGGGCCCAGAGCTAGGCAGAGCTAGAGAAAGGTGAAGCAGGAAGGGCTGAGGAGGCCTGGGGCTGGACAAGACTCGAAGGGGAAGACCTGCAGAAGGAAGTGGCTGGAGAGGTAGCAAGATAGGAGGAGAGAAGGAGGGCAGGCGGGTGAGGGTGGAGAATGTGGCACATCTGGGCGCAGAGCTGGGGCTGCCTCTGAGCACAGGAAGCTGGCCTGTGAAAACAGTGCTGGGAGACCCCAGGTCTCCCGCGTTCCCAGGCTTACTTGTGCTTTCCTTCCCTCTTCAGATTAAGGCTGAGGAAGATTTTGGCTTTGAAACAGATGAGACCCTGGATTCAAGTTGGGTTTCTCGGGGACCAGACAAACTGCTGCCCTACCCAACTCTTGCCAGCCCACCCTTTGACTGACCCCAACCCAATAAACTGCCCCCCCCCATTCAACCTAGTCCCTGTCAACTGCTCCTATTTCTCATCACACGTGGGTTGGTTTCACATTTTATTGGGCGAAGGTGCCTCCTCCCTGTCAATGGAAGTGCTCACAGTTTCTTCAGCCACTCCAAGCTGGGGCCCTGGGGGTCCTGGGGGTGGCTGGGCACGTCAGGCATGTTCCCATCATCTCGGACGGGCACTGTGAGACAGAAGGGTGGGCCACTGAGATCAGCAGATCTTTATGGCCCTGCAGAGAACAGCAGGGATGTTGGTGCAAGTTCAAAGGGAAACAGGTTTCCAGGGGAGAGAAAGGAGAGCCAGGATCAGAGAATCAGTGACGCAGAGAGGTAGAGAAATAGGAAATGGTGGGAATGACCGGAATGACGGTTATCCCCAGGGATGGGGGAACCAGACACCTGGAAAGCAACAGATGCAGGAACCCAAAGAGGAACAGAAATCTGGAAAGATAATAGAAACTCAAAAGTATAAAAACAATGGGATGCAAAATATGTGGGTTAAGGATTTGGACAGGGAGAATGCAGACAAACTGCAATATCTGACCCTGCTCAGGAATGGACTGCCCACTTCCACCCCTCCCTGCAGCACAGGTCCCCGCTCACCTGGGTAGTTGTAGGGTGTGGCCTTGTTGATCATGATGGCATACTTGGTGTAGGGGCTGAGTGGGGGCAGAATCACAGCTGTGGAGAGAAGAGCGAGGCCCAGCTTAAAGTGATTTTCTGAGGTGGGGAAAAGGGCAAAAGCTGAGTCTCGGCAAAGAAGGGGGTATCGAGGGGAGCAGGGAGGGCTAGAAATTCCAGGAGGACACTTCATTCTGTGGGCCCTTCAGTATTCTAGGATCCCCATTTACAGGAAGAATACTTCAAGGGAGTTGATGGTCCAGGGATGGGAGCCCATCAGTCAGGGACAAGTCAGGCCTGGAGGGCAGAGGGTAGTGAGGCATCCTAGAGGTGAAAGGGTGTGCAAGGTGTGCAAAAGGATCTAGGCCAGGGCTGTCTGACATAAAGATAACTTTACATTGTAATTTTACACGGTGGCGTTAAACGTTTCATATTAATCTTATGTTAATCTGGTACACCCAAACATCATTTTTACATAAAAAGTCAACATTAAAATGTTGATAAGTGTACATATTTTTGAACATGCTAAGCTTTTAAATCTAGTGTGTCTCCTACTATCTCAAAGTACTGGCCCCCCTCAAAAGCTCAGGGGCCCCGTGGCGTTCTAGAATTTCACCCGGTGTGATCTGCAGACCAGCGGTACTGACAAGACCTGGGAACTTGTTAGAAATGAAGAATCCCAGGCCTTGCCCCAAGCTTACAGAATCATAAATGCTTTTAACGGGACCGCCCACCCTGCCCAGGGTGAGCCCTGGGTGAGCAGCGCAGGTGCGCGGCACAGCTCCTTCCTCAGGGTGAGTGGCACAGACTCTCCAGCTCACTCCCACCGCAGCCAACGCAAAGCAGATGCGGGGGCGGGGAAGGGCTCATTATTTCACCACTGGGTGAGTCCCAAGGCACAACCAGGGTGGACAGCCCTGCAGAGGCTCTGCACCTCTAGTGTGGCGGTGCACTGGGAGGCGTGGAGCGGTTCAGGCGTGAGCTCGGGCGGGCGAGGGGGCGCCGTGGGGCGCGAGATGGAACGGGGCGGGTGACGCACGTTCGCGCCCGGGGCACTCACGCACCGAGACTTCCAATGGCGAAGGACACGACCAGCACCGGCTCCTTGGCCCAGGCATTCTTCAGAAAGGCGGCGAGTTCTGGAGGGTCGGGTAGAGAGTCACCTGCAGGGGCTGCCGAGTGACCTCTAGCCCGCTAGCGTCACCCCGCCCGGGAAGAGCCCCCATCTGCTTGCCGCGCCCTGTCCAGGACGGACCCCACCGCCTCCACGTGTATTCCGCCGCACCTCAGCCCTACGACCGCCCGCGGGCTACCAGAAAGACCCGTGCCCTGCACAACCGCAGCGTTCACACTTACTCTGAGCCATCTTGTTCCCGGCGGCGGCGAGGGCGCGCAGCACCCTGGGAGTTGTGGTCCTTGAGCCAGCCTCCGCAACCTGGGCTGCGCGTGCGCCCTGGAGACGTGTCCTGGCGGAAGCGGAGGCGCGCAGCACCCTGGGAGTTGTGGTCCTTGCGCTCTCAATCCGCGCGTGCGCACGGAAGTTGGAGGCTGTGGCGGGGAAGATTTAAATGCCTTGAGCGCCAGCTGGGTTCACTTTTCTTAGTCTAGGGGTCGCTCCCAAGGACTGACTTCTAGTCTTCCTGCAGCAACTCACATAAGGCGGAATTTTTGAAAACCCATTTACAGAAGGAGAAGCGGAGGCTGGAGAAGGCGAACAGCTGACCCACGGATTTGCAGCTCGGCGTCAGCTGGTGCTGGAAGCGCTAGTTTTCGGGTCAGATGGTTTAGAGACCTTCTGTGGGCTCTCACAGTTCCCGTTGTTACTGCCGTATAGCAGGGATCACTCCCCTCCCCATTTTTTCCTTAAGTGGAATGGTCCAGGTTTGTCTCTCAGTGAAAGTGGGAGTTGCTTGAGAGCAGTAACGAGGTCTGAGCCCTCTGTGCTCCCGGCTTCACGCAGCAGGGGCCTGGCGCTTAATGGGTGCTTTTTTTTTTTTTGAAGTTTAATGAACCCAACAGGTTATGATTCCTCCTCCAACTTTTCCCACAGACCACGGGGCTGTGACACAGCCACCCAGGCGCCCTTCCTCCCCACAGCCCTTCTCCTTCCCTATACAGGGCTGTCTGACGTCTGGCTTTCGGACGTGGCCTCGTTTCCTGGGAGGGAGGAGGGCATCTCCATTCCTGGCTTCAGCTTTAGAGAGAGCCCACTATGGCCCTGGCGGTGGCCCTCCAGCTGCTGACCCTCTGTGAGCTGCCCCCTCCCTTCTGCGTGGGTCCTTGGCTGGGCTGGGAGCAGAGAGAGAAAAGGGTTGGGGACCCAGCCACCCTGCAGCACCAGCGGGGCGTTTAGTATTCAACGTCTAGTTGAGAATCAAGGGACAGGACTGGGGCCAAGACTGCTGGGCATTCAACTAGAAAAGACGGAGTCCTAGAAGAGGAGGGAAGTGGGAACAGGCTTCTTGGATCTTGAGACAGGAGGGGATCAGAGACTAAGGAGTGTGGAGTCTTGATTTAAATATTTATTTTTATTTTTTGGTACCAGGGATTGAACTCAAGAGCAGTTAACCGCTGAACCACATCCCCGCCACACACCATTTTTTTTTCCTTAGAGGCAGAGTCTCTCACTGAGTTGCTTAAGGGCCTTTCTAAATTTCTAAGGCTGGCTTTGAACTTGAGATCCTCCTGCCTCAGCCTTCAGAGCTGCTGGGATGACAGGCTGTGCCACCCCCCACCTGGCTGAGGACTCCTGATTCTGATAGGGGAGGAGGTGGAAGCCAGGACCTCTGAATCCCTGGGAAAGGAGGGGTGGGGGGCAGGACTCCTGGCTGGAGGGAGGAGGGGGCTGGGGGCAAACATCTGGCTGCATAAGCAGGTGTGGAAGGAAGCCTGAATTCCTGGCAGCTTAGAGAGGAGTAAGTAGGGAAGAAGTTCCTGTTCTTCCGACCAAGGAGAGGCTGAGGAATCCCATTCCTGGGCTCCTGGTGAGGTGGGACTGGCACCCTCAAAGGACATTACAAAAAATTTCTCCTCAACCCTGTGCAGGGGCTCTGGGTCACGCAGACCTCACTCCGTCTGGTGAGTAACACTCCTCCTCTTCATCCTCTGCTTTGCTGACATCCCTTTTCCAACTACTCAGATTCTATTCTGGTGCTCAAGCTCACCCCAGATTTCCTTCCCTCCCTTCCTTTCTCCTGCCCCTTTCTGCTCCCTACCTTCCTCCCTCCCTCCCTTTCTTTTTCTTCCTTCCTTCCTCACTCCTTTAATGGCCACGATAGGTGGATAGTGAAGAGACAACCTAGAACTCCAGCTTCACCACCTCATTACTAGATGACCTTGAACAAACCACGGCTTTGAAGACATTTCCCTCTTTATAAAATGGGCTGTTGTAGGACTTAGTCTAACCACATGGGTAAATTCCCTGGCTTGGAGAAGTACCGTCTCCTGCCATACCAATTATCCCTTCAACTGGATTCTGGGGTGAGGAGTCATTCCCTTTTGATATGCATTTAGGTATATCCAGTTTTCCACCCTTACAAAAAGGAGGGTCTCCCATCCTGAGACGGGTTTCTTCCTGTTTCCTAAGAAGTGAGACCGACTTTTTCTTTCTCCCACTACAACTTCAAATAAGAATTATCTGAGAAAGGGCTGGGGATGTGGCTCAAGCAATAGCGCACTTGCCTGGCATGCCAGGGTTTGATCCTCAGCAAAGATGTTGTGTCTGCCGAAAACTAAAAAATAAATAAATAAATATTAAAAATTTTAAAAAAAGAATTATCTGAGAAACCATCGATGTCTGAGCTACCAGCTTCTTTCAAATTGTTTTTCTACCACTGAGCCACATCCGCAGCCCTTTTATTTTTATTTTGAGGCAGAGACTCACTAAGTTGCAGATGCTGGTCTTAAATTTGCATCCTGCTGCCTCAGCCCCTTTAGTTGCTAAGATTCCTAGTGTGCACCACCATACTCAGCTCAAGTTAAGTTTTTTTTTTTTTTATGATAAAGCTAATATCTATTCATGGTTATAAAAATTCAGTCATTAGCAAAAAACATATAATAGTCTCCTTCTTTCTTCTTCATCTTCCTTAAATGATCTGAATTTCCTTATATTCACACACATGCATGTATTTATAGATTTGTTTTTTTTGGTTTTGGTTTTGCCAAAGCAATATTGATAATGGATGACTCACCCTGTTTTGTATCTCATGCTTTTTACTTTACAATCTGTCTTGGAGCTATCTCCATGCCACTCTTTCTACTTTTTATTGTTATTCCAACTGTTGACCAGAATTTGCTATTGCAGGATGGCTGGATTCTGGGGTGAGGGGTCATTCCCTTTTGATATACATTTAGGTATATCCAGTTTTCCGGGATATAC